TTCCCTAACTATCCTCTCAATTTCTCTGTCAGTAATTGTGGCTAAAAGAGATTTTTTTTCTGGCAAGTGCTACTTGTCAGCACTGTTGTTTAGTATGACGCATTGGCAATGTTGGATGGTCATGAATGAAGACACAGAATGAAGGGCAAAAGAAACCTGGCATTAGTTTAGCTTAAGATCATGACTCTTTAGTTGTGGTTATAATTGTAAATTGGACCCCTACTGTAGCTTAATCAGATTTAGGACTGGAAAGGGAATCCTTTTGCATTTCCGTGCTGTCATGTGGCAGGTAAACCAAGCACAGCCCTAAGACTTTGCCAGGGCAATGCTGGTTAGTCTATATATAGCAACAGAACTCTGCTCTTGCCTTTTTCCAAACACTATAGAAAGTAGACTTTGTAATCTAATTTTGCCTTATCTAGGTCCTTTGCCGTTGTGCAATTGTAGAGGGTCCCAGATAATGATCCATGTAGGAAATGATGTTAACTTAGGCCACTGGCAGACATTATATTTATCTAATGTCTAAACTAAACGGGCATTTTTCGAAGGATACCTTGAGTCTGTCAAGGGGTGCCTCAAGTCTAAAAAGGCTGAGAAGCACTGGTCTGTCTCAACTAAAATCGCAAATATTTTGTATGTATTGGAGGATTTTTTTTATTGACTTGTTTGCAGATACACTGAAACTTACAGAATATTTTGGGTACACAGTGTTGTAAATGGGAGAGATGTTGCAAAAGGAGGATGATTTAATATTGTCTTGGCATTGTTTTATTGATCAGTTGTTTTTCTGTGATCTTTTGCTGTCACGTATGGGACAGATCTTCTCTTGGATATGTAAGGATATGCACATGTCCCAGAACAGAATGAAAACCAAAATTATTTGCATTAATTTATCTAGTTGTTTTTACTAACTTATTAATAATACATAAATGGTTATGCAGAAGGTGAAACAGCAGGTTAACTTGATGTGACATAAATACACAAATACCATAGGTTAAACTAATTCCTAGTTCAGCTCCAGTGAAGTGAAATAATTTATTCTAGGATTAAATGTGATCCTTTGAAATAAGGAAACATAGAACAATGCAAGGTTCTGTGTCTAAAGGCCTGTATTTTATTCATTCATGTAGGCTGACAGGTGGTGCTCTACGAAAACTAACCAGAGTGATGATGTTTTGCAGGGAAAAGAAAATAGTAGGTAAGTGACCTGTTTGTTTTGTATGTATATGTGAGCATGTGCAACAGGAAAAATATAAAGTGTTTGTCATTTAAATGTTTTGATATAAATGTTGATTTTGCAGAGACAAAATGGAAAACAATTAATCTTATTTCTGATGTGTACTTGCAGTGAAAATGGAAAATTGCTCTTAGGTTAAAATGGTTCCTTTTGTAAAGCAGCAGACAGGCAGAAAGAGTGAATGTAGATCACATGTTTACCTGTGAAGATCACTGTATCATAGAAATGCACTGCTGGATAGCATATGCATTTTCTGTTTTCAAAGTGTGGAAACCCAGCCTATATATATGAATTTCTCACATTTCATTTCGTGGTACTTTGAACATTTTAAGTCAGCTAGTTAAAGCTCTCTAAACTCAAGAATGTTACAAAATGTGTTTCATTCTCTTCCACTGATTTCTGATTGTAAAATGAGGATAGTCATGAAAACTGCAGATAAGTTTCGAATGACAAACTAATCTTGAGCTAGATCACTTTTAGTACAAGAATCCTTGAGGACACAATAGCAACCAGTCTTCTAACTGCTCCTGCTGCACTTTTTTTTGCCCTCTGGAGTGGTGGTTATGAGAAAAGGACAGGTCTGACTGCAGCAAACACTACTGGCCATAAGATTCTGGTCTGAAGTTTATAGGACACATGCACACCAGAGATGGGGTACATATACACAACTAAAACCCCACCATGTGTTGTTCCTGGAAATAACTATTTTCCTTTTACTTTCATATTCCTGTAGTATCTTATGAATTGTGCATTGGAATGTGAAGACCATTTATTCTCACAGGGTGTAACACACTACATGCTGAATATCTGCAATATACTATTCTGAACATAAATTTAATAGTACACGTATTATCAGTGGGAATCTTCAATAGTAGAAAAAAAGTATATAACTAATATAAGAGCACTCAAGGTAATTGCTTATGTATAATAAAATACCCAAGTAACTGTGTGACACTGTTTCACCCCTTTGTTTGTTATAATATTGCTATTTTTGGTGTATGCATTAAGTTTAATATTTGGGGTTTTGGACTTCATTAGGAAGAGAAATGGATAAAACCATGAAGGCCTGTAGATTGAAAACCCACCTGAAGGGACACATTAGCATCTCCTAGTATAACAGTTTATACCATTCATGCATATGGTCAGAGTCAGGTTTTGTCTGATGTCTTCAGCTGGTGGGTTCGCCGCCAAGCATGCGTGGAGCCCCCCCGCACTCCTGTGGGATACTCCATCTGTCCCAGCATCACAGTGTTCGCAAGCTGCGCCTGGTACCTTGAGATATGTAGAAAAAACATTTAAAGTTATGTCTATGGCTGAATTGCTGATTCTTTGAATCAGCATCAAATCTTCAGATTCGGATTTGTCCAAATCAAATCAGGGACAGTGATCTGAATCAACGAATTGGATCACTGTCCCCAGTTTGGACCGAATCTGGTCTGAATTGAATACAGCCCGTTTCGCACAGCCTTAGTGGATAGGTTCCTTAGGTATGGAAGCTTAGGGGTTTCTGAAACTACTATTTGGGATATGAATTACAACAAGAATGCTTTTTTTCCTTTTACTTGAGTTCAGGCATATGTCTTATGGTCTTGTTAGAGGACAATCTGGGACAACCTTGTGGCCTATCGATTCAGCTGCCTAATTGTCCATAGCAATCATTGTTGATTGAGAGAATGGCTTTTCCTCCCTTCTCTCTTTTGAACGAGCATTCCTTACTTTCAAACAAAAAATCCTGTTCAGCTAAGTAGAGACATTTGGGGAGGTTAATTTGGGTTCAAAATGGCCGCTCAATTTAAACTTAGTTCGTCCTGGTACTGACCTTACACTTATACACCTGGTCTTAGTAGCCGGCAGTTGGTTTAAACCTGTAACTGAACAGAAGTTCCATGCACACAAACTGGTTTAAAAATTGCAGAACCTGGTTTAAGATAGACCTAGATCTATGTCATCTCAGACTTATTTGGTTTAGGTTAGACTGGTGCATGGAACTTCTGTACACTTTCCCTGTGTAGCCCTGGGGCTGGGAAAACCTAGGCACTGACCCCAGCCCCAGGGCTGCTCTTTTAATCTCTCCCATTCTTTTCACCTCTCCCTTGAGCCATTGCTTGCTCCACCTGCCCTGTCCACTCCCCTTCTCTGCAGCCTATCCACCCTCTCAACTTCCATCTCACAAGCTACTTGGGGTGCAGCCTCTTCAATCAACGCTCACCACTGCCAGAGCTGAGGAAGTAAGCCTGGGTAGGGAAGGGTTGGGAGGGATGGGGGTATAGGTTCACTGGGGAGGGATGCAACCCCACCAGCAGGTTGCGCCAGTCCTGTCCACTCCACCTATGTGTTCATAGACTTCATAGATGTTAGAGCTAGAAGGAACCTCGTGAGATCATTGGGTCCAACTCCCTGCCAAAGGGGCAGGAAGTCAGCTGGGGTCAGATAAGGTAAGCATCCAGGTGTTTCTTGAACGTATTCAGAGTAGGTGCTTGCACCACTTCTGTGGAGAGTCTAATCCAGACTCTGGAGACTTGGATGGTAAAGAAGTTTTTCCTTATGTCCAGTCTAAAACAGTCTTCCAGCAGTTTGTGACCATTAGACCTTGTCTTCCCTTGGGGTGCCCTGACAAACAGATGCTCTCCCAGTTCCTGATACATGCCCCTTGTATACTTATAGGCTACCACCAAGTCATCTCTGACCCTTCTTGTCAGGCTGAGGAATCCCATGCCTCTCAGCCTCTGCTTATAAAGCCTACTCTCTTGACCTCTAATCATGTGCGTGGCTCTCCTCTGGACTCTCTCAAGCTTCTCCACGTCTTTTCTAAAGTGTGGAGCCCAGAATTAGATGCAGTACTCAAGCTATGGCCTTATCAATGCTGGGTAAAGCAGGAGGATGACTTCTTGGGTTTTGCTTGAGATGCATTGGTAGAGGCAAGCCAGAGTTTTATTTACTTTGCCGGCTGTGGCATCACATTGGTGGCTCATGTTCATCTTGTGGCTCATGTCCACCCTCAGGTCATGCTTGCCCTGCACCCCTCACAAGGTAATGCCACTCCCCTCATCCTTTGGCAGACCTCCTAACCCTCCTGCTACCCCCCCCTCCTGCTTTACCTGATATCGGGCAGCCATTTTGAGTCAATTTAACTTCCCCCTACCATCCCCAAATGTCTGTACTTAGCCCTTGTGGCAGTTGGAATGCAAACATATTCAAGTATTAAAGGTTTCTCTATCATCATCAAACACTCTGCCTTATCCTGCTTTTGTCTTGCATTTCTGCTTCCAGCCTGTATGTTTAGGGTTCTGGTATTTTACAAATTCATGATTTTTTGCTGCTACTGTTCTGAATCATACCTTCTACTGCACACCCCCAGGCTCTGCTGAACTTGTCTTTGTCAGCCAGTGGCCTACAAGGGAAGTGGGATTAATTTCAACAATATGGGAGGAGTTATGTGGCCGGTTCAGGAAATGTTGCAGTGCTAAAAATTAACTTAGTACCAGACTTCTAAGCCATATTGACAGCCAAGAGACCGGTATAATCCAAGTGCTGTAACAAGCAGTATTGAAGGCGATGGTCATATCCTGATACTTCAATGGGTGACTATTATTTATCTTCTGTTGGGGCCAGTTATGAAAGTTGGGAGTTCTTTGAACAAACTGAGGGGGAGGGCTTTGAGGGTGTAACAATTTGAAACAGCAAATTATTTTTCTAGGTCTTTGGATTTGGCAACTATGATGGTTCAGTAATTTGGGCATGAAATGAGAATCACACTCAATTTACTGCTTACTCTGCTCTAGCCTTCATTTCTTCAAGTTTCCATTTGTGCTTTCTAACTCAGGCATCCATCTCTTCAGTGGGAGGAATATAAACTGAAACTTTGTTTGATCAGATATTTTAGCTTTCTCACCTCTTCCTTGGAACAAGATGCCACTTAGTCATAACACCTGCATCTCTTCGATTATTTTTTTTTGCTAATAGCTATAAAATGTGGTATAGTTTGTGCTTTTTCTGTTTCCTATTGTATTTCTCTTCACTACAACCATTTAACTGTATGGACTCTACTCACTGACAAGCATGCTTATCTTGAAAGTCTCACAACGTGAATGCTGGTTTTTTCAGAGTTCTGTAAACTTTGTAAAAATGGTATTTTGCATTGTTTGGGATCACCACATCTCTTGCTGTCCAAGTCCTGGAGATGGTGTAATATTCAAAATGCAGAACTTTAACAGCTCAGAATTCATGTGTGTTTCCATTATGAAGACAAAGAGACCTTTTGAAAAATTTAGATCTAGGTTTGAATTTAATTCACTTCTGATGTTTGAGATGTTCAGATCTAGAATTTTGGTTTAGTCTAATCTTTATTAACATTTTGTAGCAAGCCAAAGAATCATCCAGTAGAAATCCTCCACTTCCTAAAAAAAATAAAAACAAAATCTGTTCTGGAGACATAAGCAGCTATGGAGAAATTGAATTATTATATCAGGGTGTTGTTTTCTGTAATTTTTTTTGTCTGTAGTTTCAAGGACACAGAATTCTGGATGGGAGAATATTTACCAAACAGATTATTAAAGCAAAACTTTAAAATCCCAGTTTAACCAATTGCGTGATGTTTAATTTACTGCTTTAGGTACATATTGCAAAATGCCCATACAATGGTGCGAACTGCTTGAACTGCTAGCATGATGTTGCTGTGCACTGGTGTTGAGGCAATGGTGTACAGCAAAGGGTTTTATGGATATAGAAACAATCTCACCTGTGGCAAAATCAGATGCACTTTGCAAAGGTGAATAAAATTAGTTCAGTTTATGATAGCATAAGAGTGATGTTATAGCCGTGGTCCAGAAATTATGCAAGAGGCAAGGATTTCTTAGGATGATATCTTTTTTTGGACCAACTATATAGTTGGATTAAGTTAGACAAGCTTTTGAAAGTAAAACATTCTTCCTCAGGTCTTTGTCAGGTCTGAGGAAGAATGCCTTACATTTAGAAGCTTGTTTAACTTTATCCCAAATACATAGTTGGTCCAATAAAAGATATCACTATAAGAAGTCCTTGCCTTTCACTTCAGTTTGGGGCAGTTTTTAGGATCCTATTGAATTAAACGCATTATGCCAATGTAAATCATTTTCATTATTAAACAAGTGTGGATAGGTTAAAATTACTATCCTCTAAGATTTCTTAAACTGATTAGATCGTTTTGATCAGATATGTATCCACATTTTGAACCCCTCCAAATTTAATGATCAGTTGAAAAATTAAGAGTTGTCTTTGAATTGAACTTATCTAACAACAGAAGGTATGGGGAGTTAGATATGGTTTTGATTAATCTCTGCTTAGATTTTGCCTTGACTTGTACTCTGCAGTCTGAGAGCTGTTTGTGGTATTGCCCTTCTTCTATGGCAGTGTAGCTTGCAGCTATGCATTAATGTATCCTTTCTCTCCACTTAGTACCAGAAATGTTAAGTGTTCCATCCTGGTTGTGTACAGAATATATTGCATTTAATTAAAGAAAATCCTCACATAATTCTTCAGTCCCTCATGTCCTGAATCAGTCGCTTGAATTTCTCTGGCTGTCCACTATGTGTATTCCTATCCTGCTGCTTTCATTAGTGAATCTATTGATGGTTTTACTTTGATTTCCCTTTTAATGCATTTGGGAACATGATAAAAGTTTGTTCACGTATTAGTAAGCCTGGTAAACACCAACTACTGTATGAGAATTTGAGTGTAGCAACATCCATCTCTGCTTACCGGCAAGGAGGAGTGGGCAGACTAGGTATTTGTAGAGGGGATTGAAGGAGACTTCTGTGCTCATTTTCATGAGCATACCTTGAGCCATAGCAGTGTGGCTTTTTTGCTTGTTTGTTGAACTCTGGTAATCCTTGTAGCCAACTGAGAGGTGTGCAACTGCAGATTAGTCACTTGCAGGGACTGGGGTATTTGAATCTGTGTACTTAAAGACTCTTTTACAGCTTTTTGCCTAATATATCAGGGGACAGAGTGGACTTTCTCTTGCTAATAAGATTTAAAATGAGAGTAACTTTATGCCTATCTGTTCCTTTTCTTTCTTCCTTCTTAAGCTCTCCTCTTTTATAGGTAGGTTGGTTATTAATAATCGTACCACCATACTGTAACCATAACATTATAGATGATAAACATCCACCTGCACTTTGCATTTCAATTTTCTACTATATCTTTGTGTATTCTTGGGGGTCTCCTAACTGGTGGGCCTGTGTCAGTCAGCAGGAGATGGGACAGCATAAAAATTAGTACCTTTGTACAGTCTTCTCACGTCCTAGGATGATCTTGTTGGCCATTTTCTCTTTGGTTTCTGGGATGCTATTCACACCCCAGAGCCTGAAAAGTGTTCTCCCCATCCTGGAATCACTTCCCCCCTCCACCAGTACATATTCTTGAAGTCCTTTGGACCCTCTTTCTAGGTGCATTTCTAAGAGTTCAGTAAGGTGCTTCCTCTTTAATGTAGGAACTTACAGTTCTTGATCCCAGGGATCTTCTCCTTTCCAGTGACGGTTTCCAGTATTTTGAAACCATCTCTTTCTGCCTTAGAAGGCTAATACCTCATTGCAGACAGAAAACATATTTTGTTGAGGTAGCAGGAATATTGCCAATGTCAAGTATTAAAAAAGGCTCCAAAAGGCTCCAAAATTAAGAAATTGGATTGAAAAATAAAGAGATTTTTTAATCTGGGTTCTCATTTTTTTCTTTCCTAAGTTTTCTGTCTCCAGCGTTCATGTTTTCAATCTTTTCTTTGCAAGTAGAAGGATTAGAAATGTAAGTGCTTTTCAAATGAAAACGGAGATTCTCATGTGTCCTTATGACCTCAACACCTGGAACTTTTAGAAACATATCATGTTGCAAGACTCATGATAAACTTATGATGTTTCCTAGCAGTGCATCTGACACTTTCTAGAGCAGTGTTTTAATTTTTTTAAATTAAAAATATGCTCATATTTTTCTAAGATAAGGCATTTTACACCAGTCTGAAAAGCATTTATTTCTGTTCCTTAGTTGTTATTCCCCATGCTGTAAGAACTCCTTCATTTTAATTGACTTTTGTTTTATGCTTTGTACAATTTACCTCTGCCACTTTGCTGTGGAAATGCATAACATCCTGGTAGAACAACTTGAAATGCAAATGCAAGTGTGTGTTAGGCACGTGAATCAGTATTTTGCCCCTTGACCCTGCTCCTTAGAAAAAATCACATTAAAAGCTTTAGTAGGGTTGGAGTGTTGTTGCTGTGATGGTCCAGGAAATGTAGGAGAGGCAAGGATTTTTAGTGATATCTTTTAATGGACCAACTGTATAGTTAGGAGAGCTGTTGGACAAGTGTTTGGGCATCAAGTACACTTCCTCAGATCCTAAACACTATGCAGGGAGGTATTGCACTGGTCATATTCCTTTTTCAATCAGACATGCCTGTCTAGAAGTGCATAAGGTTGCTTGCTCAAGGTTGCTTTCACTCAAGTAATGAGGATGTGGTTTCATGCTCACCTGCTGCTCTGAGAATGAGTCTTCTATGCCCTCTGTATTCCCAGTGAAAACGCAATCTCACCAGTATGTTAGAATTTATTAGTCAAAGATTAACTTCCATATAAAAAAATTAAAGGACAGACACATGTGCACATTCTTAGGGGCATGTTTCTCACAGAACAACCACTCCCTTTCTAATCTCACTATCCTTGTGTTCAAGGGCTTAACACCTTTAAAAGGCAAATTTAGGAACAAAAATTCATAAGTTGGCTAGACACTAAGAACCAAGGACTAAATATTGGTATTGGTTTTACGACACATTATATATAGCCCAACTCCTGAATTCCTTCCACACAGGAAAGATGAGAATGACCTCCTCTCTTTTGATAGGCCTTGATCTCCCAGTAAGCAGTAGGCCTGTGCAAAGCAGCTAATATTTGCTTTGGATTCGGCCGATTCAGGGGACAGTGATTCAATTTGGTGATTTGAATTACTGTCCTGATTTGATTCAGCCAAATCTGATTTGGAGATTTGGCTGCTACTGGATCTCCGAATCACCTAGGCCCACCCCCCGCCCACTCTCCCAGCCCAGCAGTGACTGCCCCACCCACCTGGAAACAGCCATCTCAAACACATGTATAACAGGGAATTGTCTAAAGGGCCTGAAAATAAGCTTTTAAAGAGATGACATATACTAATATTTGGTACACTGATCAATCCCATAGCCAGTTAAGTGTTGTTTATATTCTGATTACAAATGTTTTCATTAGCTTTTAATTATTATGGGTTTTTCCCCCTATTTTTCAGAGGAGGAGCGGAGAGTAAAAGCCAATGATCGTGACTATAATGAAAAATTTCAGTATGCGGTAAGTTGCTGTTATAATGTTGCATAGTAATGGGCATATACTTACAGCTTGTTTGAGTTACCTTGTGGAAATCTGTGAAAGGAAAGGTTAAATAGTTCTCTATTTCCATGAATTAATTTTAGGGAAACAATTCCCTTGTTTGTTAATGGCAGTTGCATTATAATGGAAAGAAGAATCCAAATGTGTATTGGTATCGCCTGAGGAAGGATTGATATTTGGATTTAATCTTAAACAGGAGCCTGCTGTTACTAATATTTTGTTAGTACCCAGTAGACCAGGGGTGGGCAAAATACTGCCCGCCAGGCCATTTCATTTGGCTCGCAGGTGGGTGCCTACCAATTCACTGTATCTGGCCTGGTCCTGGGCTGCCCCTGCTGTGCTTGCACGAGGCTGAGCCCTGCTCACTCCCATGGGGGAGCATGGGGCCCATACCAGTGCCCTGAGGCCGGGGAGGCAGGAGTGCGGAGCTTGAGCTGGTGGGGGCTCAGGGTCTGCTTGGCTCTCATCACGTGGGGCTCACGTGCAGTTCCCAGGTTCTCTGCCCTAGCCTCATGCCTCCGAGGGGCGCCCCACATGATGAAGTTGGCGGCCCAGCCCCAGTCACTGCTACATGCTATGGAGCCAGGCCAGCTCCACCCCTTTCCCTGCTGCCCCAGTCAAGTTCAATGACCTGCACCACCAGCTTCATCATGTGGGGCTCCCCCCAGCAGTGTGGGGCTTGGGCACATGAGCCCTACATGATGGAGTCAGCAGCCCGGCCACATGTGGTCCCGGGGCTCACTGGGATTGTGTGCCATTGGGGGGCTCTGTCTGCTGCTGCCACTGGTGGCAGGGGCTGTGCGCAATAGCGGGGTGTTTGTAGGGGAAACCCCACACACACCCCACCATACACATGCACCCACGAACCCCCACACTCCTCCCCAGCCACCCCCTCCATACACCCACAACCCTCATACCCATCCACATCTATATATCCCCACACTCCCCCCATCCCACATACAAACACACCTATCCACAGCCCCCCAAAACCCCATAACCACACACCCACACCTTCCCCCACACCCCACATATATGAACACCCACACACATACACTTAGTCCCCCACAAACCCCATACCCACCCACACCCCTCTTACAATATACAAGAGTAAGACTTCATCTTGAGCTATTATGCAATCATCTCTTTATACACAATGCAAATGTACATAAATCAGAACAAATATATATTTTTAAATAAAATTAAAATATTTTATTATAGATGCTTGGTTTTTAATATATAAAGTGTTTTTTTTTCTGGTTCCAAGATGGCAAACTCTCTTCCCGAAAGGAGTACTTCTGGGGCAATGGGAGGGACTTCTGGTGGCAAGAATCAGGGTTTAGGGGTGGGACTTCCAGTTCCAAGATGGCAACCAGGGTGCAGGGCACCTGTCAAGAGGTGGGGCTATCCTTATGGCCCATGACATCTCATCAAAACTCATTAAGCCGCCCTTCGGCTTAAATAATTGCCCTCCCCTGCAGTAGACTCTTGGTGAACAATTGAGGGCTGCATGGGTATCCCCACCCCCTGACAGCTGCCCTGCTTTTTGACAGTTGCCCTGACCCTGGTCACCATCTTGGCACCAGAAGTCCTGCCCCTAACACCTGACCTATGCCACCAGAAGTCCCTCCCCTTGCCCTGGAAGTACTCCTTTTGGGGGTTGCCATCTTGAAACTGGACCCCCCTGCCAAATCATAGACTAAAAAAATCAAATATCTTCTGTAACTTATTAGAATTTTATTAAAAAAAATATTTTTGTCCTGATTTGTGTGTTTCCATGGTGTGTTTGGAGGCGATTGCATAATAGCTCAAAATACATTCTTACTCTTGTATATTTTGTGTTGGGGGAGTACAGAGGTGTATATGGGGATTGTGTGGTTGGGAAGTGGGTGGGAGGGTTTTTTTGTATGTTGGGGGTTTGGTGGCCAGTGGGGAACCAGCCCCGCCCATTTAATCCCATCCTGGTTACTAGGCTGGCACCCATATGATGCAGCATGGGGCTAGCTTGGCCTGACGCATGGTTCCGGCTGCAAGGCTGGGGACCACACAGCACAGCATGGAGCCAGCCCATCTGGCAGCTGGGAACCGTGTGCTGCAGCTGGGATAAGTTGGGCTGGGCTGGCTCTGTGCCGCATCATGCGGGTCACAGCCTTGTGGCTGGGAACCACACAGGGCAGCATGGAGCCAGCCCAGCCTGGCCTCTTTGCACTGCACCGCATGGTTCCTGGCCTCACAACTGGGAACTGCATGCTGCAGCTGGGATAAGGCGGGCCGGGTTGGCTCTGTGTCATGCCGTGCAGGATGGACCCCAACCTTGGAAGTCTTCAAGAGGAGACTGGACAGACACCTTGCTGGGATCGTTTGATCCCAGCCTGCTTGGCCCATCTCCTCCTGGCTGGGTTCCAGCTGCAAGGCTGAGACCTGCATGGTGTGGCATGGGTTCAGCCTGGCCTGGCCTGATCCCTCCATGCTGTGCCACATGGGTCCCAGCCTTGCAGTCAGGAACCATGTGCCACAGCTAGAATGAGCTGGGCCAGGCTGACTCCATGCCGTGATGTACAGGTCCTGGCCTTGCAGCCGGAACTGCATGCTGCTGGGAGGGGATGGGATGGGTCAGGCAGGATCAGTGCTGTACCACATAGTTCCTGGCTGCAAGGCTGTGACCTGCATGGTGTAGCAGAGCCAGCCCAGCTTGGCTTGTCCTGGCTGTGGTGTGTGGTTCCCGGCTGCATGGTCAGGTGGGTTGGGAACTGGCAACAGGGTCAAACCCAGAGAGTGTTAGTGGACGGGTCTGTATAGTCTTGGCAGGAGGTGGCCGGTGGTGTCCCACAGAATTTGGTTCTTGGCCCTTTGCTGTTCAACATCTCTATCAGTGGTTTAGATGAGTATGTGGAAAGCACGCTGGCCAAGTTTATGGATGATACTAAGTTGTGGGGAAAAGTGGCCACGCTAGAGGATAGGATATGGATCCAAGAAAACCTGGACAAGCTGGAAAGGTGGACTTCCCAAGGAGGTGGTGCAGTCTCCAACCTTGGAAGACTTCAAGAGGAGACTGGACAGACACCTTGCTGTGATCATTTGATCTCAGCAGTATTCCTGCCCAGAGCAGGACTCGATGATCTTTTGAGGTCCCTTCCAGCCCTTAATTTCTATGATTTCTATGATACATTACAAAGCAGACAGCAGGGCTGAAAGATACTACACATTTAAGCAGTTTATGCAGTCTATTTGTTACAATGTAGGCAATAGATGCATTGGGACTGGCATTTTGTTAATTAAATATATTTTTAACTTATTTGGGATTGGCAGAAGGCACTTCAGAGTGGTATTATATGGACTAACTAATTTAGAGAGGGATAAACTTTTGTAAACAACAGACTACTTTGTCACGTGCTGTGAATTGACCTGCAGGGAGCTGGAGTTCTAAATAGAAAGGAGAAATTAAATACAAAGGATAGGGAAGTAAGCTGTTGTTAATGAAAGTTTATGCCTCTCTGAATGAGTCTATAAGGTGCAACTGTACCCTTGTTTTCTGTTAATTTCAGATTAACAAAGCTAACTACCTCTCTCTATCAGGGATTGCATGTAGACAAATTAGAAAGGGTCCAGCAGAGAGCAATAAACATGATTAGAGTCCTGGGAAACTTGATTTAGGAGAAAAGGCTGAAAGAATTAGGATTCTTGAGAAGAGAAGACTGAGGGGGAATTTGATAACAGTCTTCAAATACCTGAAGGATGATTATAAAGAGGATGGAGGTAGACTGTTTTCTCTGGACCCAGGGCACAGGACTAGGAACAATGGTCTCAATATGCAACAAGGGAACTTCAAATTGGATATTGGGTAGAACTTTCTTTCTATGAGGGTGGTTAAGCATTGGAATAAGCTACCCACAGTAGTTCTGGAATCTTTATTCTTGGAAGTTTTTAAGAGCAGGTTGGATACTTTACTGGGATGGTTTAGTCAAGGATGAACTTGCCTTGAATGGGGGTTGGACTGGATGATCTCCAGAGGTTCCTTCCAACACTATTATTCTGTGAATCTACAAAAGAATGGATGCGAGTGACATTGCATAGCTAGTTGTGTTTGGGGTGTCACTCAAGATATGAATGTGAGAGAGGAGTTTGTGGAGTTAATGCCTTTTTTGCTTCAGACATCATGCTTAGCTAGGGGATGAGCAAAATATAGTCTGGGGGATGAATCTGACCCACCAATTGATTGAATCCAGCCTGTGGGTGGGTTTCTGCCAATTGATCGTATCCGGCCCTTACTTGCCTTCATAGTGCTCTTCATGGGCCTGAGCCCTGCTCACTCTTGCCTGGGAGAATCTGTGCTGTGCTTCTGTTTGCACCTGCCCTGCGCCTGCCAGACAGCACCGTCCTGGCCCTGGCTAGTGAGGATGGCTTTTTTGTGGAGCTGCTGCTATAGGTGCCTGGGTACTGCTCAACTCCCCACATCCTCAGTGGCTCCTGCTCCTCCTCCTGCCCCTGCTTCACTTCTCTATGCAGCAGATAACACAGGGAAGCTGTGGGGATGTACGCTGGGCAGCAGATGCCCAGCCAGATGGGGGGTGGGGTGGGGGTGGGAACGTTGCAGCCAGGTGGCTCCTGCCCCAGCATACCAGGCTCTTGTTCCCTCAGCTGCCTTCCACCAACTCTGCCTGCTACCCGGTGTGATGAGCAGGGGAAGCCAATCAGTACCGGGGTGGCTGTGGCAGCAGCCCCACCAGGACGCTGTGTGCATGGGCCGGGGCCAGGGCAGTACTGTCTTTCAGGTGTGGCTGGCGGGAGTGTGACATGGGCTGCCCCAGGTTGGAGTGGGCAGGGCTCTGCCCCATGTAAAGTGTCACAAGGACAGCCATGGGCCATATGGAGGTGGGGGGCAGACCATACCAGCACCTGTACTGCCTGGGTGACCTCTGCTGCATATGCTCCCTGCCTGCCCCAGTCAGAAAAAAAAAAAAAGT